CGGGACACCCGTCCCGCTCCCCAGTGTCCCCTTAGACCCGCGAAGATCCACTTCCACCCTCGCACCCACCTTCCGGGACGCACAATATCTGAGGAGCAGCACTGGGGCTTCTGTGGCATCCGGAATTTCCAGACAATAATATGGCGGTGTGGGCGGAGCTGCACATGCGCAGAAGATACCCGGAAAAGCCCTTCCCACAGTCCTGCGCTGGTGACCTCATTGCAGGGTGAAACTACATTTCCCAGATGGCAGAGCGGAGCAGCACATGCATAGAAGGAACCTGGAATAGCTGTTTGCTACGCCTGTGCTGGTGATGTTATTGGAGGGTGAGACTACATTTCTAACAAGTCTCTGCCATCATCCTTTAGGGACCAAAGGAGAAAAATTTTGTTGTTTTTTTTTTTTCTCCGCAGCTTCTGGAATTTCTAGACAAAAGATGGCGATATGTGCGGAGCTCACATGCGCAAAGCAAACCCGGAAAAGCCCTTCCCATAGTCCTGCGCTGGTGTCGTCATCGCAGGCTGAAACTACGTTTCCCAGATGGCAGAGCAAGCGGAGCAGCACTAGTAGTAAGGAAATTTGAACAGCTGTTCAGTACTCCTGTGCTGGTGATGCTGTTGGAGGGTGAGACGACATTTCTAACAAGTCTCTGCCATCACCCTTTAGGGACCAAAGGAGAAAATTTTGTTAATTTTCTCAGCAGGGATTCTTGCTACCAGGAGATGAGGACCTGACGGATCAAGACTGGGCTCTATCCATGTTATTGTGAGGTGGAATTCTGATTATTTATTAAATCCTTGTTTGGCAACCTGGGGCATTGTGAGAATAATGGGGTAAATTCGAATGTGGGCCAATTACAGCATGACATTAATAAGTAATTTTACTTTTTTAGTTGTCATATAGGTATTGCTATTATAGAACCCATGTTTATTTTTGCAGATGCGTCTTAGAGGATGAAAAAATCATGCATCTATTTTCCTTTAAATGGCTAAACAAATGAGAAATTAATATGGTAGTTCTCTTCCAAGCAATTAGAAAATGTTTGTTCTCATCCAATAAACTAATTTGCCTGTCTTCAATGAATTGTACTACACAGTTGGAACAAGTTTGGCCCTTTCTCCCAGATAAAGAACTGGTTATTATTACACTCTATTGACTTGACCCTATTAAATTCTAAATTTTAATCCTACAATCATTGTAGGGCAGTAAGCCATATATTTGCCTCCTGTGTAAGAAACAAAGATGACCGGTAAGGGGATCTTAACCCTTGACTTGGTGTTGTCAGCACCACGCTCACCCAGTGAGCGTACCGGCCATCCCTATATGGGATCCGAACCCGGGGCCTTGGTGTCAGCAGCACCACACTCTCCCGAGTGAACCACAGGCCGGCCCATATTTGCCTCCTGTGTAAGAAACTAATACCAGACCCATAGTAACCGAGCTAACATGAGGTCTTGGTTTCTGTATCATGTTGTAAACACCCCCTTTTCCCCTGGGTCCCCCTATATTCTTACTAGATACCACTTCCTTTGCAGCAAGGGCACCTGATACCTTTTGTTTCAGATTAACACTTCATGCACTTTAGGATTCATATTCTGAGTCTTGTCTGTATACAGAAGATTTAATTCTATAAATTGGCAATGCTGGAAATTAAGATTCAGGTGGAAGTTCCAAAAGGAGGCCACCTCGGTCATTCTGACCCTAGAGAATCTGGTTCACGTCTCTCCTCCAGCTTCTGGAAGTGTACTGGCAATCTTTGACATCCCCTGGCTTGTAGAATCATCACCCTGATGTTTGCCTTCATCTTCCCATAGTGTTCTCCTTGTGTGGTCTGTTCACAAATTCCCCCTTTTTGTAAGGACATCAGTCATCCTGGATTAACTAATTACAACTATAATGGCAGTTTTGTAAAATATCTTCACATTCTGTAGTAGTGTGGGTTAGGACTTTAACATACAAATTTGTGGGAAGGGTGAACATAGTTTAATTCATAGTAGAAACTTATCTCTAACTTTGGCAGAAGCTATGAATGATAGCCTCTTCTCACTAAATAGAGTATTGACAAGTGTCGGTTGCTATGAAGAGAGACAGCCCATCACAATACTCTATATTTCATATTGGCTACTTGAATGGGTTTGCTTGGGCTGCCATACAAAACACAAGAGACTGGGAAGCTTAAACAAGAGAAATGTATTTTCTCTCAGTTCTGGAGGCTGGATATTGAAGATCAAGATGCTGGTAGGATTGGCTTTCTCTAAGATACTCTCCTTGGGTGGCAGATATTTGCCTCCTCTCTTCCTCTTCATATGGTCATCCTCTGTGCACAATTACCCATGGAGTGTATACGTATGTCCTAATCCCCTCTTGCTGTATGGACAACAGTCAGATTAGGGCCTAGCCTCATTTTAAGCTAACCAACTCTATAAAGACTCTCAAAATGTAGTTACCTTTTGATGTTCCTGAGTTTAAGATAGCAATATATATATATACATATATATATACACACACATACATATATTTAAAAAGGTTGTAATATAATTTTGGGGGGAGAGAGAGAACACAAATTAGCCCATACTGTAATCAGGGTTTTGTTTGTGTCATTACTAATACTTAGACAGATTATAACTATGCCCCTCCACTCAGATATCGGCCAGGCACGTCAGGCCAAGCACGTCATATCCTGGACTCACACACACTTTTCTTGTGACCCCTCTCCTGCAGGTGGCCCTCCTTTCTCAAGCAGAAGTCTTGTAAAGCCAGATCGCCACACTTCCCTACCTCCCACTTACTGGTTGCTGCTCAGTTTTTCACTAGACAAATGTCTCCTTTCCTTTTTTTTTGTACAATCCGTGTTTTGAGAAGTTCATGATATCCTGGTCTAAGAAGATCGTGCATGGTGGCAGAGGGTTCCATTGGGTAGAACTGTCTCCTGGGAGGATTGGTGGCCCTGCCCTTTAGACTCTACTCTCTCTGGCTTCCCTGCAACCAAGTGCCCTTGACTCAGAGTCATCCCCTGTGCCCTGAAAAGGATGATCTTGGTTTACATAAATAGGAGTTTCCCTGTAACCATCACTCTTCACCTATTTATGCCACTCCTCACTGGTCACTTCAGCCTCCAGACACTTCTACACTTGGAAGTTTCTGTTGCCACAGAAGACTTGGGCCCTGGACATGCAGGACAATGGTGGCCAGTTGGGCAGTGGAGTTTCCACCTACAGTGTGGATGTGCTCAGCCTGGACTTTACTGGACAGTGATTACATCAGGCATGGTGGGGTGCAGAAGTCCTGTCTGCCTCTGACCATGAGTTAAACGTGCCCCTGGGTCCAAGAACAGAGCCTGTCTAATTGGCTCTTTCTAGAATCAGAATCTGTGCTCTGAAGACACTTGGACCTCAGTGTGACTGAAATGGCCTTCAAGCTCTTCACCTGAATCTGGTCTTGTCAGCATTCATGTCTTTAGCCAGCAATACCAATATCTAATCACTCAGTGGAACCAGATGCCCAGATTTTATCTCCAACATCTCCTTTATCTTCACTACCCACACCTGTCTTGTCAACAATTGTGCCCTACACAACTTTCTCTCCATCCATAAATTTCTCATTTTGGCCACTGTCATTGGAGTTTGGGATGATACCAACTTCCACTTGGAATTGGATCTAATTCACTTTTTTTCTTATCAGCTGGCCAGTGCAAGAATCAAACCCTGGACCTTGGTGTTGTCAGAAAAATGCTGTAACCAACTAAGCTAACTAGCCAGGCTTGTATATTAATTCTTAACCCTGACCTCTAATACCTGATATTTAACTGCTAACCCTTCCCCTAAAACACCATAATCCTCAACTCTATCCACTGAGCCTAAGTCCTAAACCATAAACACAACCTATTACCATAATCCTTAAGTCCTAACATGTTCTACACATTACCTATCCCTAAACCCTACCACAGCTCCAATTCCAACTCTAACCCCTAAACCCAACTCCTTCCTCTAAACTGAAACCTAACCCTAGCCTTACCCTAACTCTAAATCTAAACCTTGAACTCTAATAATAAGCATAACCTCTAAATCTAACCCTAACAGAAAGCCTATCTTTAACCACTAACACTAACCCTAGCACTAAAACCTACTCCAATTGTAACATTAATCTCTACCCAACCTACCTAATCCCTAATCATTAACACTAACCCTACTCCCTAAAACCAACAATAACCTCTAATCCTAACTCCACCCACTAATCCTATCTCCAACCCCTATCCCTAATTCAACCCAAACCCAAACCGCAACATCAACACCAACCCTAACCCTCACTCTACCTAGGTGGTGTTGGGCTCTGGGAGTGGCATCAGTTTCCTCCTTTCCCAAGGCTCACCTGGTGTTTTCCACACACGAGTCTCCTGTTGGCCCCTGTCCTCCTCTTCTGCGTTCTTTCCCACCTACCTTCTGTCCTTCACCTTCACAGAACCTGGTCACACCGCATTCTTTCTGCTCTGACTCCAGAGCACCCCTGGTCCCGACATGAGCACCTGCTCGTTCACTCAGGGAGGACTGTACTCCTCTGCCATCTCTTTAGGTTTAGTTTTATTCCTGTTATTATCATTAACATTGTCATTGCCATTTTAAAAATCATCGCTTTTGTAATTATTACTGTTTTCATTTTTGTTGTTGAACAATCGTTGAACACATCCTTGTGGTCAAGTTATCCTGAATTCTAAAACTGAATGGATACCCCATTTGGGTGAAGCCCTCCCAAAAGTTTAATGAAAGTGAGCTGTGGTCTTGGTCCCTCAAGCTGACATAACTTAGGATCTGGGAACAGACTCTGTAGTTCAGAAGTTAGAATTTACAACTAGCAATTGAGTAAGGGGGTACAAAGAAGACAGCTGTGCAGGATGGATGTTACCTAAGTGATGAGAAGGACCATAAAACAGAGTCACTAAGCTCCAGGAACAGGGGACATTGTCTTGACACACATCCTTGAGATGTCTTTACAAGACAAAAATCCAGAACTCTCCCATCCCTTGGAATGTCCTTAGGTGGTGAAATATCAAGAACACAGATTGATAGGATCCTGGTAAGTGATGAAGGAAACCAAAAGTTGTGTGTTTGTTCGCAGAGATCCTGCTTCTTTTTTTTTTTTCTGAAGATGACCGGTAAGGGGATATTAACCCTTGACTTGGTGTTGTCAGCACCACGCTCTCCTAAGTGAGCCAACCGGCCATCCCTATATAGGACTCCGAACCCGTGGCCTTGGTGTTATCAGCACCACACTCTCCCAAGTGAGCCATGGGCTGGCCCTGAGATCCTGCTTCTTTGTGCACAGAGATGGGGCAACTTGGAACATTGAACTGGTGACTCACACAGCCCCGTCCACAATCCCCAACATTTTCTTTAAAACTCTTTGTCTATAAGCATCTCGGAGATCAGGATTTTTCTGAGCTTTAGCCACTTGGACTCGTTACTTGTAATTAAAGCTTAATTCCCCTCACTGCAACTCATGCCAATGTTCTGGCTTTAGCTGCACATCACGTGAAGTGACACAACAGTGATTCTGTTACAGTTACAACTCACAACTGACCATGTCTCAACTCTGTGACAAGTGAGCTACTGTCAAGACATCTTGGAGTCTCAGTGCTCTCTATGACATGGGGTTAGTGACTCTGCTCCCATAGAGGAGGTTGGGCGTCCAAGCTGCCCTGACGATGTGACCTCACCTTGTCCCACCTGAGAGATGGGAGGTCTGCTGCATGGGGACAGTCCAGGCAGAAATGCTGGAGAAGCTGCTGGAGTACCAAGTGCAGCCATCTGGGCAGAAATACCATGCCTGCACCTTTATGTGCTCCTGCTGAGCCCTCACCTCCACCCAATGGGTGCTGGGCCTGCTGCTGGGAGGGTGAGCACTGCTCCTCTATGGCACAGAGTTGACCCAGCTCCAACTAGTTGTGGCTTAAGAATGTCACTGCACCTGAACTGTTTGCACCTCTGAAAAGTGGGTGCCAAAAGGATCAGACCAAGAGGGTCATTGCAGTGACCAGATGGAATGAGCCATGGAAAGTGCCTACCCAGTGTCTGCCCCTGTGGAAAGGA